CTTCCGATCTCCCCAAAACCCCAAAACCCCTTGGAGTAATATTTAGTTTTGATATTGAGTTAATTAAATAGGTTTTATCTCATCAGAAAGTATCGAATTAAAAATCTGTAGATTTAAAGATTTTTCCCAAAAGCTCATTGTAAAAATCCGTTTAATTTCTCTTTGAAATCATCATCATTAATCACGACCTTATTTTCTCTAAATCTTGCTTTTTCTTCAAATAGTTTAGGTATATATGTGAACTTAATCATATTTGGCTAGTAATTCCTTAACTTTTCTCTGTAATTTTAAGTGAATTCTCTTATTTAGATTTCTAATTCCTTGTTAAATTACTGTGAATCATTTTCTGGATTGGTCTAAATAACTTTGTACTAACTTCTAATGAAGAAACTAATGCATGACAAATATTAGATATTCACATGTCTGTGTGCATATGGAATATAATTTTCAGAGTATAGCCTCATTAGCTCTTTCCATAATTCATCACTACCAAGGGCCATAATAGAAAGATTGATAATAAAAACTTGAATTTCCTAAATCATTTTTTCAAAATTGATATTTTTATCATCATTGTATTTCTTTATTCTTTATGTAATATAATCAAGTAGGAGATTCAAATCTTCTCTAAAATCCTCATAACGATTAATGTAAGCTCTGAACAAGTTATTGAGATTCTTGAAGTTGAGAGAATCTAGGCTTTACTTGAGATCATCTGCTAAATATTAAACATCCTCTTTTTAGAAATTAGGAATCAAAGATATACCCTAGAGTATTTCAGATTTTTCAAAAGTGCTAAGCTTACTAATATTAGCCTTGATATATTTCATAGTTCGTTCACACTAGCCTTTAGTAATTTATTCGTGGCGATACTTGGAGATAACCTTAACAAAAAGGGTTATATAGGTAGGAGGAACTGATGGATCCACTAAAGTTTTATCTAAAAGTGATAACGTTATGTCGAATATTTCAGGGTCAGGTATTCTTTCACGGTCTTTGCTTAGAAGATTGACTGCCTTAATAAACTCCTTAGGATTGTTTTTATGATTCATTTTAATGCAAGCTGAAAAATACTTGCGCAATTTCATTGATCCCTTCTCGAAAGTTCCCTAGCAAAATCCTTACAAAGCCATGTCAAAATCAGTTTGATTAAGTTGGTCGAAATTCGCCAATAAAATCTTCTCCAAAGTCTCCCAAGTTTTTTTCTATCCATGATCAAGGATTCCTAAAGCTTAGATAAATGTAGTAACATCTTAAAGCGGCACATTATTATTATCAAACTTGCTCAGCACTTTTATAAAGATTTTTTCAACTATATTAATCATTTCTATTTAAGCCGGCTTTAATCGACTCCCCAGTTCTAAGTTCTTATAGACTGCTACAATATTTGAAAGATCCCTTAGATTTTTAGATTCCAACCATTTCTTCTGTTATGTAACAAGAAATTTATCAAAAGACTTCTAGAATATGTTATTCGCTAACTGCCCAGAGTGCTTTGAGAATACCAAAGCAAGTTATATGAGAGATTACTCTTGGAATTATTCGAAGTTTTCACCCATAAATCTGTCATACTTTTCTACGATATCTATATTTTTATCAAGGAGCCTACCTTTGTCTAGAGCAACTAGAATTTTTACATAATCTTGATTGTTCTATTTGAAAACTGATTAGTCATTCTCTTTGAGTTCAAACCTTAATTACTTTTTATAATTATGGACAATTGCTTCACTCAATTCTCTGAAATTGTAACTTTTTACATAGCATATCGTTCTAAATATCCTGCCAAAATCTTGGGTATTAAAGGCTGAATTAAAGGGGTCTTTACTATCCTATTTGACTATGTCTTTTAACTAATTCTCATACCTCATCCAAAAATCTCTATCATTGACATTAAAAAGTACTGCTGCCTCTCCAATATTATAGATCTTTGGCTTTATAAATTATTCTTTATGATCGAGAAGTATACATAGAATTTTATGAATTTTTTTCAAGTCTTCTTAGTCATTAATTCTAGCCTTGTGAAACTTTTGAAAAAGTTCGGTTATAATTTAATTGGTTTTTTCCTTGATATCATTTTCATCCAATTTTATAATCTATCTGTAATAAACATCAATCTGTGAAGAAAGACTAATCTGAGGCTTTATAGTTCTCTGATTCATATTGTTTGAATTGAAGCCTCGAATGTTGGATTAAACAGGGACATTTAAGAAATGCCCATTTCTAATTGTCTTTAAGTATTAAGAGATTTACTTCATTTTTAAACAATTATAATTTTTAATAAAATATTTTATTGCTGCCTGATAGATGCTCACTTTACATTAATTTGAAACATAAACATTGTAATTAATTAAATTCAAAATGAGATTTCAAAAGCAATTAATTGCACTTATAATAGTCAGCTTTCACATGTTAATTGGAGTTATTAATTCATTTGAGTGGATGGGAGAGGCTTATATGGGCTAGAATATCATTAAATATGAGAGAGGTTAAGTGGTAGAATTCTTTAATCACAAAAATGTATGTGAAAGGTAAGATTATGATTTAAAATTTTAAACAATAGTTTTCTACTTATTCCTGGAATACAAATGCTTCCGGACTCAGCATTGGCTATTATCTATCTATTTATCATAATCTATGTGTTTATTGGACTTTATCTTGCTATGGATTCCTTGATTGAGTATGATTCTATAAATTTAAGCCTTAATATTTAGATCTGTAGATTTCATAATCTTGAGGTAGAAAATACTTAAGTAAAAAAACCCAGAAACCAAGAAAAATCATGAAACTCGTGTTAAAATTTGGAATCCAGCAATCGCATAGCTTACTCTAATGGTCTTTGCAACCAGTGCACCAATCATAGTCATGAATGTCATTGAAAGCGTATAAATCATATCTAACGAAGTCTCATACTATAACATTCTGAGTTAATATATGGGTTTTACTGCTGTAATTGGTTTCTCAGCTTTTAGCGTATTGATTTAAACAGCCATAGCTATATATGCGCCTACTAAAGAAAAAGATGTTGTAAGTTCATTATTGGATTTATCTGTAAATAGAACGAAAGAAGAGATTTATCAGTGGAAAGAGGAGTAAAGAAGATTAATTACCTAGGTCATTATGTGATAGTAATATGCTCTAACATTATCACGCTAATTTGGCTTATAATTTCCATTTGGTACTTAAGTCCAAACGTTATTGAGGTTTGGGAAGCTTTGGTAACTATCTGCTTGTACATACCGCTACTATCTATTAGCTATGGCTATGATAAATTCAGAGAAATGAGAATAAAGCGCAAACTGATGGCAGAGGAATCATTGGATCAAACTGTTTTAATTTAGAAATAATTTGAAGAAAACAAAAGAAAAAAGAGAAAACCACTATTTGAGGAAAAAGATAATCCCGATAAAGAAATAGATAAATCAATAAAATATAGCACTATAGAATTCTTTAGAGTCTTAGTATCTGAAAAGAAGGGAGCCCCTTTAAGAAATTATGATGATCAAAGAAAAAGAAAAGAGATGAAGGAATATCTAATGAAATTTTTGAAGACAGATGATATAGAATAAGTTACCTACAATGAGTTGAAAAAATAGCTTGAAGGAGATTCCCTTATAGGCAGAATCCCATATAGATAATGGTTCGGCAATCTAATGTAAATAAGGAGAGAAATTGTTACCAGATAAGGAATTGACAACAAGAGAGCTGAGATGATGCTCTTAGATTAGAAAGAGCATGCATATTTTGGCTTTAAATGTGGAAGCTATTCAGTTAATGAAGCAAAGGGATTTGTTGAAGTAGAAATACTTAACAAAAAGAAACAATAAGCTAGTATTGGAATAAGAACTATAAATGGCACAGCTAAAGCTGGTGAAGATTTCGAGAAAGTAGAGAGGACATTAAAATTTAAGAAGGATCAAGAGTCTTATAAAGTCCCAATAAAAATTATGGATAACGAAGAATGGGAACCAGATGAAGAATTTTCAGTAGAATTATTTGATGTTAAGACAGGATACGCGATAAAAGGAAAGGATGTAAGATCTAAAATAACAATCATCGATGATGATAACCCAGGTGTTTTGAGCTTTGAATTTCCTCAAAAAAGAATTTTGGCATCTGAACCTGAGGCAAAAATAACAGTAGTGAGAAAGAATGGATGCAAAGGAGTAATTAGTTGTAGATTCAAAACTGTTGATGTAGAAGAAAGAGATAAAAGAGCTATCCCTAATGAAGACTATGAGAAAACTGAGGGAATAGTAGAGTTTAAATCTTCTGAAATCTCTTAGTAAATTACAATAAAACTATTAAATAAGAGATAATATGACCCAGATTAGACTGGAATGATGTTTGGACTAAAAATATTTGATCCATAGCCCAAAGGAATAGTAAAGATAACAATGAAAGATACATGCCAGGTCAAATTAGAATTAGATAATGAATTTTAACTTAGATAGGAGGCCCTTGATTAATTCCTCTGGACTATTGAAAGGTAGGCCAATCGAAGTTGGGAAAGTCAGATAAAACAGGCAATAATGCTTCATCCTACTTTAAATCTTGACGGCACTGTTGATGATGTAACTACAGGGGATGCTGTTGTTCATTTTGTCACAATATTTTGGAAATTTACCATGGCACTGATTCCACCTCCTCATATTTTCAGAGGATGGCCTGCATTTTTCTTATCTTTGACTGTAATATGTTTTCAGATGTTGATAATCCTTGAATTCGCTGGATTATTTGGATGCAACACAGAATATGGAGGTTACATGACTTCTCTTACTATAATTTCAATAGGTGTCTCTATCCCAGACTTAATTGCAACATATTAAGCTGCTTAGCATAGTAAATATGCCGATAACTCTATCATGCAATTTCAATGTTCAGTTAGTGTTAGTATTTATCTTAGCATCGGATTATCATGGCTAATTTAATCTATTCATTTTGGTATTTATAAGACTGATTTTAAAGTTGATGGTGATTAATTAGTTGTCTAAGTATCTCTATTCTTAGGAGCATACTTATTATGCCTAATATTGCTCTTGGTAAGAAGATTATGCATTGGAGGTGAGATTGGAGGATCAATTAAACTTTGGAAAATACTGTCATCTTTATTTTTGATTTTGCTGTGGCTTATAATTATAGGCGTGTGTGCGATTTATATAAACTCTTTTATGTGATTAATATGTTTTTATTTTAATCTTAATTTCATAAGTCATTAAAAAAACAAAGGTATGAAGGTTCATTAATTATAATAATAATTCACTTTGTAATCTTTTTACCCTCTAGAGCGAGATTGGTGACCATACCATTCATTGGTTTTTCAACCTACATTTTGGCCTTGTGACACAGAACAAAACCTCCAGTATCACATTTCTTCTTTTTCTTTGCCCTTGGATAATCTAAAATGATTTTGGGCAAATCATTTAAAACAAGTTTTACTAATCTTTCAGTTACATGCTAAGAAAGTTAAAAGTAAAAAACTTACAGTAGATAAATCCATAGAAGGGGAGGAATTTACTTCTATAAGCCAAACTTTCAAATCTTCGTCTATCATGAAGTCATAACCTAAAAATTCAAAAGAATTCTTTCTGTTGTCAACCATATCTTAAACACTTTCAAGACTGCAAGTCACATACTTACAAAACTAGGGCCAGATAATTTCTTAGAAAACATCACTGCCAAACTGTTCTTGGAGATGATCACTGAACTCATCACAACCCCACATGTTTCCTTCAATTTCACTTTCATGAAACTCATCACATTTACTGACTATTGCATTATTAGTCAAGTGCATAAATTTATCATTAAGCTTTGTGATGTCATAGTCAATTGGAGAAAATCTAATATAGCATTCCTTATATATCCAGACAGTAAGTGGATTCCAGTCAGTTACCATTACCCACTATCTCACATCAAATTTTTTCTTCATAACAATAAGAGGATTCTCAATGTACTTTTGAACAACAAATGACCTACCTTTTACTGATTTTATATGATTCATCATTTTATCATATCCTCTGAATACTTTAATTCCTCTTCCTCTTGACTGTCCACCTGGCTTTACTAGCCACATATTTAAATTTCCATTAAGTTTGAATTAAGGGAATCTTTATTCGAATTCTTTCAATATATTATCTACTATCCTTAGATAAAATTCACTCTTGACATCTTCAAAATTCTCCTCATTAATAGAATCAGCAATCTAAGGATTCTCTTATTTATATTCTTCGAACATAGAGTTAAATCTTTCTTCTAGTCTTTTGAACCATTTTTATGCCTTGACTTATTCTAGTATTTATTCATTTCCTTTATCCTTCTAAATAACTTCCCATTCCTTCTCAGTAACTACCAATTCTAGTTTCTATATCAACATTATTAAACCCATAAATAATATTACTGGATCATCTAGCTAATCATCAACATCCTTCATTCTTTTTTCACATATTTGAATAGCCACTAGAAGTCTCTCTATGTGCTTAACTTTCTTATCTCTTACAAAGTTCTTAAGAATACATTCAGCCTATCAAAGTTTTAATGATTAAGGAATTTACCTTGATAAACCTAAACTCATTTTTAAAGTCTTCACCTTCCTCACCCTCTGTTAGATCAAAACACTTAGGAAAGAAAGAGTCTACTTCTACATTATTCCACCAGACTAAATTCTTCAAACTATGGCATAAGCCAACTTTAGTTGTAATCAAATTGTTCTTAAGAAAGTGATTAACTATTTGATAGTCTTAAATTTCAGAGTTGCAAACATCACTTTACTTTATTGCAAATTTAAGGTCAAATACTGGGGAATTTCTATCAGGGTTTTCGAACCAGCCTCTTTCTACTAAAGCCTTTTTTAAAGTTGAATAACCACCGACAACTATGAATATCTTTTGTTCGATAGGTAAGTTGTATCTTTTGAGAAAGACTTTCCTATCAGTTATAGTAGGCTAATTAGGCTTTAATTTATCATTTCTGGCTAGGAATTCTTCAGATGGGCCTGCTATTTATTTTTTTACTTCACTAAGATCCTTCTCTTCTTCATCCTTTTATGAACTCTTCTTTTCTTCCTCCTCTTATCTAAATCAAGATAGAATTAAATCTTAAACTTATTTACTTTTTTTACTAAAGGAGCTGAGTGGTTCTTTTTTAGACTTCTAGTCTTGCATTATTGATCTATTCACTTTTCTTTTTCTTTTCTAATTCCTCCTGTTCCTTTTGCTGCTGCTTCTTTTTAGCTAGTTCTTCTAAATGCTGAAGAGCCTTATTGTTTTTTTACTAAGGGGGCTTATCAATGATAGTTTCAAGTTTGTTCTTAGAGGCACTTGACTAGTTTTATTATTAAATAGATATTAATGGTAATGGTCTTTGCTAAGATGAACTCTATCTCTGCAATTTTGGTTAAGGTGGCTTGTTATGACTGAGTTGAGAACTGATGTTGAAATTATTTGATGAAGTTCACCTTGAAGTGGATGTAATTTTTGCAGACTATTAAGACTTTAAAGACACATCACTTTTTCTAGTTCTAGCTGCTTTACTAGAAGAGCCTGACAATAAGAGAGATCTTTAATTACTAGTTTCTTAAGTAATCTTTGCAGTATTAGTACTACTGATCGGCTTGTGTAATTAATTTACAATCTTTTTAAGCTTGTCATTTTCTGATGGTGTTTTTCAAAGGATGTCGGATTAGTTTAAACTGTTGTAATTTTGAGATAAGACGTTATTCGTATTTACTATTTATGGCAGCACTACACTTCCTTAGCTGGAGTTAATTAGTTGATCATTTGATGCTGATTCCTTCTTCTCGACAAATAGATTCCTGTGAGGTGATGGAAACGTAATATTTTCTAGCTGAGCAGCAATTTCACTATTCATAGAATTCATAAAATTTTCCATTATTTTTATTCAATTTCAATTTTCATAATTTTTCCAACACGGGGTTTTGGGGTTTTGGGGTTTTGGGG